CGCCTCACGTCCCCCCAGTCCCCAGGCCTTACCCCCGGCGCCTCGGCCCGTGACTCAGCCTCTGGGAAAAGCGGAATAAACACCATTAAATAAATCACGAGGTTCCTGGCCGGCCGCGCGTGCTTGCTTTTCTTGTGTCTTTAACTTCCTTTTTGTTGGTTTTCTTTTTATTCTTTCCAGGTTTCCTGGCTTTTCTCTCTTCCCTGGGGAGGTAGGGGGGGGGACACCCCCCAGCCAGCAGCCCCCCGAATCCCTGCTGAGTGCCGCCCCCCCGCCCCAGCCTGGCATGGTGAGGGAGGGCTCAGTCTGCCGGAAGCCCATGGCTGCTCATGGAACTCAGCCACCCACCCGCTGTCACCAGTGGGCTTCAATTTTGCAGCCGGGCCCACGGGGATCTCTGCACCCCCCGGCCAGGGGGGCCATGGCAGCCCCCCAGCCCCATGCTTCTGCCTGGCCCCAGGACACCCCTAGTTTGTGGGGACTCATCCCTCCGGGCTGGGTTTTTCTGGGGGAGATGGGTATGTCCTGGACCATAGCCTGTTTGGGAGATGCCAGGGGTTGCCAAGCCAGATGTGCCCTCCTTCGAAATGCCACCGTGATGGTACTGGGCCACCTGCAGCCACTGAGGATGATGCTGGTGCCGGGCAGAGACCAGGGGGGCACTAGCCACCAGCAGACCCTGAGGTCGCCCCCCAACTGCAGGATGCAAGGCCAAGCATTGGGAAGCACCGGGACGGGCTCTTTGCCACCCCCAGGGTGTCGCAGCAAGGCTCAGAGGTGCCACCCCACCGGCTTGGGAGGTGGCGGGCAGAGTTAATCTCTGCTCCATTCACCCTGACCAAGCTCTTAGAGCCATGAGACCAGCTGGAAAAAAAAATATCGGATTTACAGATGCTTTCCCTTCCAAGTCCTGAGGGCTAGGGGTGTTTGTTTTCTGCTCCTGCTTGTGCCCAGCCTTGGGGACAGGAGACCAGCGGCCTGTGGGATGAGCTGAGCACTGCTGGGGTGGGGGACACCAGGCTTTGTGGCGGGGTCCCTGTCCCTCGTCCGCCTCCTTCATGTTCATGCAACTTCTGGAAAATCGCTGGGTCATGACGCTGGTACCTCGCTTGTGCCACCTCCTCCCCGCTCTCCCTCCCTGAGCCTCTTCCATCCTCCCACGGCCTCACACAGCATCCCGCTGCCCTGGGTCTGTGCCCGCCGCTCCCCGATTGCGGTCCGTGCTGAGTGTCTTTAGGTGGTACTTCTGCCCTGGGCTGTGTCCCATCCCACCAGCTGTCCAAATCGCCATGCCTCAGTCGAGCCAGGGGTATCAGGAAACCTGCCACCTCCTCGTGGGATGCAGCGACCACCAGGACGAGGTTTTCTGGAGCAACGGCCTGAGGCATTGGCTGAGCCCGCCGGGTCCCGTTATTTTGGCCAGCCCCTGCTTCCCTCCTGCCCTGCAGGCGCGTGGTCAAGGCAAGTGCCACTGACCATGAGTCAGCAAAACCCGGGGCCCTCCCAGCCCCGCAGCGCTGCATGACTCAGCAAAACCCTGTGTGGCTCTTCTCAGGCAAGGGGCCAAGGTGTGGCGGGTCCCCAGCATCTGTAGCCCAACCCCAGAACCCACTGCTGCCGTGGGCTCCCGCTCAGGGGTATCCTCCTCTTGTCCCCCTGGGTTCCGGCAGCCCTGGTGCTGAGTGCCCACGGGCGGGAGCAGGTCAGACATAAACTAACCCAACCGCAGTCCCACCCAAGCAAACCCACCCTCCCCAAGGACTCTAAACCCCCTTGCAAATGTGCTTTGCAGACAAAAGGGATAGTCCGGACGCCAGGCCTGGGGCTCCTTCGCGGTGGAGCCAGCGAGGTACCAGCCCTCCTCCCTCCTCTTTGAAGTGGTTGGGAAACTGTAGCCAGCCAGGCAATGTGCACCTAGCCCCCGGGCTGGGGCACCTACAGCAGCTATTCCACAAGCATTTCCAGTCCAGCCAGTCTCTCCCAGCATCCCATGGCAACGGAGCAGGCTCTGGTATGCAGGTATGGGCTGGTGAGGATGGCACACCATGCTAGCCCTGTACCATCACGCACTGCAGAGCAGTCTTTCAGCAGGGTCAAGCAGTCTGGACCCAGTCTGTGTCTGGTTTTTTAATTACAAGGGATTGAGGGCTGTTATAACGAGCCTTTGCTGGGGCTTCATGCTAGCAGGGCTTGTGTCTGCATCTGGAGCTGCTCTCATACCAGCATGAGAGGGGCACGGCTTTTAGACGTGCTTCCCTAAGTGACTTATGTGTCCATCGCACCAGTGAGCCCAGACACTTCCCAATGGTTTATTGGGAAAAAGGAAGGACAGGGCTGTGTCAGGGAACGTTATGATACTGATCCTCTCCTGGGTGCTCACAGGATGGGAAGGCACCAGGGGGCTTATCCCCAGGGTGTTTAATTTGTCTCCAGCCCTTGGCACTGGTGGTTTCGGAGCTGACACCGCTGTGCCTGTGTGCCGGGGGACTAGTGGCCCCAGCAAGGAGCCAGGATTTCTGCATTTGGGCTCCTTCAGCACCTCTGTGGGATGTTTGCCCTGATGTCAAGGCCTTGAGAGGCACAGTGAGGATGTTTAACCAGGAGGTGGGAGCACGTCTGAGTATTTATAGACTGGGACCGTGAGAGTTGCACTGTGTTGTCTTCAGAAGATAGACTGGCATGAGCCTGGGCTCAGGGATTTTTACACATTTTTCCCTGTTTGCGGAGCAAGACCCGGAGTGCCATGGCTCAGGCATCTGGAGCAGGCAGAGATGTGCAAGAGACGGCCAAGGGACCTGTCCCTCCTCGCTCCTATTTTCAGCACAGTGGATGAACCCCTTCCCTTGCTGGTCTGTCTCCCTGGTTCCCCGCATTCCCCCAGCTCCAGGGGGTTAGCTGGAGCGCCTTCCCTGGCAGGCACAGCCGTGGGCGTGAGGTGACACGCCTCTGGGAGTGGGCCACGCTTTTGCAACCTCGATCCCTGCCAGAGAGGACTCCCAAAGGGGGGGGGGTCGAATGACTCAGCCCCAGCGGCACCCCAGCCCCAGCTCTGGGAGACTGGGGTCCCCTCCGCAGGTGACGCTGGGGTGTGCCACCTGCCCTTTGCCGTGTGGACGGGGACCTGACGCCACTTAGTTTCAAACACTTTATTTTCTGTAGGGCTCTTGCAATTCCCTTGCCCACAGTCTGGCAGCGCTCTGGCAGGGATGCTGCAGCAGCCTCTTTCTCCTTGCATTTGGCTGTGCATTTGCCTCACCCTTTCCTCCATGTTGTTTTTTTTTTTAATTTATTTATCACAGCGGTAGCCAATGCCCCAAACTGCAACGACCTAAAGGGCAAGGAAAGCTTCAGTTCAGAAACACCAATTATTTTTTGGCCAAGAGATATTAAATGCAAAGCTGCAGGTGGGATTTCCAGAGGATGAACATCATCTTCAAATTCAGAAAAATGTGTTTGGGATTTTGCAGCTTGTCGCTAAAGGAAAAAAGAAAACTATTCCTCTGTCTGAGCTGAGCAGAGCCTACAGTTGTACAAGCCCAGGCAGATCTGGGTGCAAACACCCTGACTCCAACTCAAGGTTCCAGTGCTGACGTGAAGCTGCTGGATGCAGCTAATTAGCAGAGCCTGATTCACCAGCCCCAAGCCCCCAAGCAAAGGGGTGGTAACTTTTTCCCGGCACGGTGCCAGGACCTCGCCCACTCCCAACGCCATTTCCTAAACCGACGAACAGTTTGCAGGGTGAGGGTGCATTTTCCAGCAGCACTGGCACGTCCCAAATGACACCCTTTTTCTGGGTGACACCCGCAAAAGCAAACCTGAAGGTGCTTTAGTAGCAGATCCGGCTGATGGGAAACCTGGGAGCAGCGGAGGCGTTGCACTAAGCACAGCAAAGGGACTCACCCAGGCCTTGGCCACCATGTCCCAGTGCTGCGGGCACTGGGGGAGATGTCCTGGGCATCGCGGGCAGTAGCGATCCCTGGTCTGTTGGTGCTGGCTGGCTGGGGCAGGTTTGGAGGCAGAGCTGGCCAGCAGCCTGCTTAAACATTTTTTGGCTGCCAGCATGGGCTGCAGTGACCTTGGGGAGATGCTAAGTGGAGTTACAAAAGGCTTAGGCTGGGTGGTAATTGTTCCCTTGGTGTCTCTCATGCCGCAAACCCTGATCCCGGTGGCAGGCGAGGGCGGCTTGCCGGCGGCCAGGTGTCATGTCTGTGTGTCACGATGGGCAGTAGGCCTGAGCGTGGCTCCATCCCCATCAGGGCTGTTTGCAGCAGCCTTTGAGCACAGGGTGCTTTCAGCCCAGTGGACCTTCTCCATCATATCCTGCTCTTCCAGACTTACCCCTAGCTATCTGAAAAAAGAAAAAGGCTTTATGCAGCAAAATGCTTATGGTCTTTTAGCCTGTGAGCCGCCCTGGTGTCTTCACTAGGGTTTACTCGTACGCTACCATGCCTAGCCAGGCTGCTGCCAAACTCGGCGTCGCCTGTCCCTGCGTCCCACGCATTCCATGGCCCTGCCTAAATCCCGGCAACCCCCGCGCCGCCTGCCTGCGCCTGACCCTGCTTGGTGTCGGACGTCCTTCCGCATCCCCAGCCCATCCTCCCCCGTGGCTGGG